AAAGAAACTTAACGAAACCGTCTACAAAAGAATCCGACTCAACGACTCCTCCACCACCAAATTCTATGGACTACCAAAAATTCACAAAGAAAACAACCCGCTACGACCAATTGTATCTCTTCCTGGATCACCTGCGTATGAACTATCAAAATATGTTTCTAATATTCTGCACCCGACCATTCGAAATAAACATCGCACATAAACCAACACAAACATCCAAGAAAGTTGAAACAAGATTCACTGAACACAAGAATGCCATCAAACGATGCGACCCAAAATCACTACCAGCATGCGAACCTGCGTGGGCAACCAATCAGAAAAAGACAACAACAAACCAAAATGGCGGCGACAGGAAAGATAGAATGGACGCCAGAATTAGTTGAAGCCTTGATTGAAAATGTTCGTTCAAACAAAGTCGTTTGGGATACTAGCAATGCAAATTACAAGAACAAAAATGTGCAGGAGTCAGCATGGTTAAAAATAGCAAGTGAGTGTGGTCTGGAAGGAAAAGCATCGAGTATTAAAGCAAAATGGCGCGATCTAAAAGACACGTATAGGAAAAAGTTGAAGTTGTTGATACCAAAATCTGGTGATTCTGGTGGTACAAAGAAAGCTACTTGGCAATGGATGAGTCAAATGAGTTTCATGAAAAAATTTAGCATCGTTGAGACGCCAACATCTTCTAATTTCTTGACAATAAATGAGGAGGAAAGTCGCCGGATATGCTTGCTGTCAAACGACACTGAGGCGGACATATCTGACTTGTCCCTAACTTTAGATGATCCAAAGACAGACAGCCCAGCTTGCTCTCCATCAGCAAGTGCCGTTATTAATACTGAAATCTCTAAAGCACCAAATTTCTCTGGTAAAAGAAGGAAAAGGGATGAATCACTCAGCCAAGTAGATTTGGCGATTTTATCTGAACTAAACAAAGATAAGGATGATGATGAGGATAGTCTGTTCATGAAATGCTTGATTCCGCAACTAAGAAGACTGGAGCATAAAAAGAAAGCATTAATAAAATGCCAAATTCAGCAGCTACTTTTTCAGGCAGAGTTTGAGTCCAGTTTTGAAGATCAATGATTTCTTCTGAATTGCTCCTGCTAGCAGGAGTATTCTAGTTAAGTCTTGGCATGTAAATGTGCAAAACATGTACTTGAACGTTTTGACTGCTCCATATAAAGGCAAATTCACAGCTTATACACATACAGTCAAAAAGAACTGCTCAGGTTTTGTTTAGTAATGTTGAATAGATAGCAATTACCAAAGAGCTGGATCCACTTGTTATTGAATATACTATTATTTTTTTCTCGGAAATTTCATGTAATGTTTTGTCATTTTGTGACAACAATACCCCTGATAAACTATTTTTACTAGTGGGCAGTTCTTGTTGACTGTTTGTGTAAGAAAAAACAATCAAATTAAACAGCTAGAAACCTTTACCAATTTAATGAGCTGATTTTCCTTATATTTACATACTGTTATAGTTTTGACAAATTTACAGTATCTGTGTGTTATGTGTTTTTTACAAGATTGGAAACATTTTGGTTCTGCTCTTTAGCTTTTAATACTCAACATTAACAAACATCATTTATTTATGTACACATTTTGCCAAGGTACTGCACCAGCAGGTGAATTGAAAAAGTTCTTGAAAATGTCTCGGATTTCTTTTGCACTTTTCTTGCAGGCATTACCATTTTTTGTTTGGGTTAAGGATTGATAGCCTGTATCCTTATTAACATCTTCTCTCCAAGCTCTTGGCACAATATCTGCATTTTTCTCTTCAGAATCTACAAATCCCGGTGGGCAATATCTTCGCTCATGTCTGGGCAATGTTGATTCATGGAACATTAAGAAATTATGTAAGGCTACCACAGCTTTGACGATACCAATGCAACGCTCAGGTATAGCATAGATTGGTCGCTTGAAAATTCGCCATCTTGCAGTTGAAATGCCAAATGTATTTTCACTAACTCGTCTTGCCCTCGATAATCTGTAATTAAAAATTCTTTTGCCATGTTCCAAATACCGTCCACCATATGGCTTCATAACATGACGTCCCAATGGAAAGGCATCATCTGCAGTTATTACATAAGAACATGTGGTGTTTGTGTTGGGCAAATTGCAGTCTTCTGGTAAAGATAACCTTCCATTATAGAGGGCATCTTTCATTCCACACCGTTCAAATACACCACCATCGCTTGAACTACCAATAGCACCTATATTCACTAGCAAATAGGAATAATGTGCACTGCAAACAGCCATCAAAACAACACTGAACCAACCATGAAAATTAAAGTACAATGAACCAGTGTTGGCAGGACAGTGGCATCTTACATGTTTGCCATCTAGTGCCCCAATACACAATGGAAACTTCCACTTCTCCCAAAATTCTTTCGCCACATCTTCCCATTCGTTTGTTGTTGAAGGACATTGGACATAGATAGGAGATAGTGCCTTCCATATTGCTAAACATGTCTCTGGGACAATCTTGTTGACTGCAGAATGCCCCAACCGATAACTAAAAGATATGGTTTGATGAGAATCCCCAGTTGCAAGATATCTTAGGGTTACTGATAGCCGCTCTGCCGGCAAAATGGCTTCCCGTTTCTGGTTAGACTTAATAATCAATGGGGTAACTAACTGCAACAATTTCTCAAATACAATCGGTGACATACGAAAATATTTAAAGAAACTTTCGTGGTCTCCTAGTTGCATTTCTCTGACCAGATTGGCATACTCTCCTTGCTCTTTTCTTTTTTGGAGAATAGGTCGGACCCAAAATCGTTTTCTGTATTTTGCCTTCCTTTTTTGATACCTTTTTCGTAATAACAATAATATTAAGAGTTTTCTTCTGCAAAAAACTGCCATGTTTTTTATTTAACCCGAAAAATTTTGCCATGCAAAATAATTTCATTTTATTGGTCAATTAAACAATAGAAAATTGTGCGAACAGCGTTGATGATCGTGATAAGTGTGTATTGAATTCGCATGTGTACGCACGTCGCAATTCGCAAATCGCATGCGATTTGCGAATTGCGAATGTAGTGGAAATGGGCCTTAAGTATAAACACGAGACGAACATTCCACACAAAATTCATATAGACGAACGAGACGAACTTGTCAATTCGGAGGCTCGGCAGCAAACGTCTATGGCGGAAAATTCAAATTCAAAATGGCGGCAGAAATGCAATTGGTGAAGCATTTATCTCGAAAAAGAAAATTAAATGAAGAAAGATTATTTTTGTGGCAAAGAGAGAGCGTCACACGAGCAAAGCGTCGTTTCGAAGATGAATTAGCTGATGAGATCGAATTAGCGCTTGCTGCAGCATCATCTGTTATTTTTCTCACTAGAAAACAAAGGAAGGACAGGCGTCCTGATGAGCGCAGGAGAAATACTTGGTGGTCTGAAGGCTATCAATCTTGGAGTGATGCAGCATTCAAGAGGCGCTTCAGAGTGTCTCGTGCGACGTTTGATTTTCTTCTAAACGAAATTGGTCACGAAATGGTTAAACAACCAACTCGAATGAAACCCCATCCAACAACTCTTGATACACAATTGGCAATTTGTTTGTATCGGTTGGCACATGGAGTTACCTATCTAACAGTAGGAGATTTATTTGGTGTTGCTGCATCAACTGCTTATTGCATCTTCATAGACGTTTGCAAAGTGCTGGTCAAGATCTTGTATGACAAGTTTATTTACCTACCAAAGACAATAGATGAATGGACACACGAACTCCAAGGGTTTCTTGAAAATTGGGAGTTTCCATGTGTTTGGGCATGGGATGGCTTTCATGTATATGTTTCGAGTAGATTGAAGAATTTTTATAGTTACAAGAAGCGATATTCTGTTACTAATATGGGGTTTATTGGATATAATAAAAGGTTTATGTTTGCTGCAGTAAGTGCACCTGGCTCAACTCATGATTCAAGGCTTTTAAAGAATTGTGAAGTATACACAGAAATTGAACATGGCAAAGTGCTGCCAAAAAAATCACTGAACCTACAACCCTATGGAGAAATACCACTTACAACTGTTGGTGATTCAGCCTTTCCATCCCACTCGTGGTTGCTTAAGCCATACAAAGAAGGAATGCGAGAACCCCAAAAAAGGTACTTCAACAGGAGGCTTTGTTCTGCCCGAGTTGTGTCGAGCATGCATATGGGATGCTTAAAGGTAGATGGCGAATCTTGTACAAGAAGACAGAATGTCATTTGGATAATATTCAAATATTAATCATGACTTGCATTTTGCTACATAACATTTGCATTGACAGAAATGATCCATGTAAGTCCAGATGGCGCCTTGAAGTAAACCAGCTCAATATCATTCGTGGATTTGGCCAAGCAACAAATGCAGCTCAAGATGTAATATGCATGATATCTAATTGGCTATGGACATTGCGGCAAGAAAGAGCCATATAAATTATGAATAAGTTTTAATAGTTTAATAGTTTAGCAATTTTTGCTTTTGTGTTTCATAAAAATCTGTTGTTGTTACAACATAAGTCATCTTCTAATATGCATTTTCCTCAGTGAGGTGCATCACTAACCAAACTGTCTTTCAAGCATTTGGCTATTTCTCATCTGCCAGTAGTTTGTGGCCAGAGAGACTATTACAAAAGTTAACTCTCACACAGAGAACAAACCTAACCAGAATAAAACATATACTTGTATTTAGCTGGAAAACTCAGGGAAAATTAACATTTAGTGTAAGACTCACGTTTATTGATGAAGTTAAATACCTATACAATATACTTGTAAATTTGTTGTAAATTTGTTTCCTTCAAAAACAATTTCATTTTAATCAATGATACATCTGGCATTCTGATTTGTGTACAATGTATACATTGTACACAAATATACTGGAATGTGTTCACTTAATGGAAAAAATATCAATATTTTTTGTATTACATGAAAACAGAAAAAATATCAGCATCAAAATATTAATGAAATGAAATAAAGGAATATCTTACATTAATATTTCCAAAGTCACAATTAACATCCAATTAACAAGCATATACAAGTAAATTAAATGTTTCCATGCATTTTGCACAATTTGTCATCAATATATAGGTACTTTGACACTCAATTAACATTATTGATTCAGTTTTATAACACAGAAAAAATAAAAAACAAACAACATCAAATCTTTGGAATTGACAACTAAACTATACTATTTAATTGTTGATGCTGACCATGTAGTTAATACACTGCTGTTTTTCACTTAACTTAATTACGTTCATACCAAGGTTGGTCATGCTGATTTGACATTGGCATACCTAGACTTGCAATAGTGGTACCCTCATGTGTGGTTTGTACATCGGATTCAAGTTGACTGAAATTAAAACCACCATAGGGATACATGTTGTGAGGAGACTGCTGGTGAGCAATCTGGATATTTGGAGGGCGAAGATGTGGGGCTTCTGATTGATAAGGTCTACTGTACTTCATGATCATTTCCAACATCTTTATTTCGTGTTGCCTGTTGAGCTCTGCTTGTTCTCTTTGAAAATTTAAGAACTCCTGTTGCCTTTTCTTTTCAGCTTCAGAAAATAACTCTGAACGCTTTCGTTGCATCTCTCCCATATCAGAAAAAGACTTGGCCATATTCTGAATTGCTTGTGCTTGGCTTTTTACTCTTTTTTGAAAAAAAGGTCTGATTTCAAGTTTAGCTTTATGTTTCCCTTTGGTGTTACTGCTGGAGCTACTGTTTGTACTGGCTTCTAGTACATCATCATCGCCACTATTATCAGTTGCTTCAATGCTAAGGCCGCTGGTATTACTAAAAGGTGTATCTGGTCTATCAACTGTCTCATCCTCCTCGTCTGAATCTGACAATGAATTGTCTGATTCGTAAGATAACAGAACATCACCACTACAGGAAGCAACATCTGCATCTCCCATGGTATCACAAAATATTTGATTAATGATGGTGAACCACTCTGGCTCAACAATCGGTGCCTTTCCGCTTCCCTTTTTAACACGATCTGTAAATTTTCGCCACTGACTTCTAAGAAACTTATACTTAACTCGGAGCCTAGCTGGAGTAATTTCCAGGGGGGTATCTTTCAATTTTCGTTTCGAATTTTCTCTTTCACGTTTGCTTTCTTCTTTGAATTCGTCAGATTTTAGGTATGTTTCAAGATCTTTTGCAATTTCTTCATAAACACACAAGTTTGCAGACTTCTTTAATGCTAGCGTTTCTAATTGAACTGCATACTGTTTCTTTTCATCTGCTAGTACAATTGCAAAATATTTTAATTCAGTTTCGGTCCAAACTCGCTCCTTCTTAGCCCTATTTTTCTTGTTCGAATCATGAACCATTTCATGAACACGATCATTGCTTCTATCCGCCATATTGATTATTATGGGTGAAATCCGCTAACAGCGAGTAACGAAGTATCATTTGTTTTGGTAGTTCGTCCACAGTACGCATTTATACTCACAGACGGATGATGCGTCAAGACGAACTACCCATGCAAATTCGTCTAAACAGACGAACTATTCTGATAATTCGTCTTGACGGATGATCCGTCTGTTTGCCCGTATTCAAACACAGACGAACTTAAAAACGAACTATGTTTTTCTTGCCAAGTTAGTCCAGACGGATGATTCGTCTCTAGTATAAATCGGGCCAATGGCCTATTCTTACATTCTGACGAAGGCTTGAAGCACCGAGTTGAAAGCTTAATAAAAATTTCAAAACAAAAATCCAGAGAATCCTTAATATTATCACTTTGTATATTGCCACACGAAAGTCACAAAACAGAAATAGAAACATCACCTGGTACAACCCACTATAAAACTCCAATGTCCACACAGACATCGGACACAAGTTCCTTAACATAATCAACAGGTCCTTTCCAGAAAATCATCCACTCAGCAAAATCTTCAACAGAAACACACTTAAGCTAAGTTACAGTTGCATGCCAAACATCGATACAATAATTTTTACAAACAATAAGACCGTTTTAACCAAAGAAGAAACGATGAAAAACGCCACCACAGACAGAAAATGCAACTGCGGAAGAAAGAGGAATGCCCACTGAGAGGAGAATGCCAAACCAAAGGGGTAGTCTACCAAGCCACAGTCACCAACACACTAACCAAACACAAAGAAACCTACATCGGTCTAACGGAGAACACTTTTAAAACACGCTACTTGAACCACACCAGCTCATTCCGAAATAAATCAAAACAACACTCCACAGAACTCAGCAAACACATATGGAAACTAAAAGACTCTAACACACCATACACCATTAACTGGAAAATTGTAAAGAAATCACAACCTTACTCAAACAAAACCAAACGCTGTAATTTATGCCTCTCGGAGAAAATATTCATCATCTTCCACCCAGAACTCAGCTCGCTCAATAAACGAAACGAACTCATTTCCGCATGCCGCCATCGTAATAAACACTTACTAACGTCATTAATGTAATACTATATCACCTAAACATTTAACTATTCATCTTAATGTATAAGTTCCGTTGTGCTATAGTGCTATATTTATTCTCCTGACGAGTGTGGCAAGTTAAACAACTGTCATACGAAACAGCTCTGTTGCGATAGTTTCTATCACAAAATCCCATTATTTATATATATATATGTGGTGATGTTGAAAAAAATCACGAAAACTACACATTCATTCCGACAAGCCTGTTTCGTGATTGCTCACTCTTCGGGGATTTAATGAATAAATACTTAAATGTGTAAAATATTTATACAAGATGATGGAAGTTATTATATTAATCATGCTAAGTATACAAACTGCATATACAATGTGCCCTCCCGGCTATCACCATAGTACAATAGTAACTCCTGCACTTGGGACACAGGGTGTACTGTTATATATATTTATATATATTGTAACACGTATAACCCCATTGACCAATTTATATACTCTGGTTTACAGTTTTAAGCGAATTAAATTGAGATAATAAAGCCATCCATTTGAGGATATTATATTAGTAGAAATTCCATCACATAAACTTTTGGTCATAATGTCTTTAGTTTTCATAACATAATTTATGACATTGTGCAAGAATTGCTGATTTCCCTGTTTTTCCCTTATAAGGTCATAAAACATGACAGCTTTATCGCTTTATCAAAACGATCTATGGACAAAAAATTCGGTTGGCATTGTTACGCGTTCATATTAGATCGTGTTTCTGTGATCTTGTGCCTATATATATATATATATTTAAAGTGTATATACAATGTGCCCTATACATATATTGTACCATACCAGTTGCAAGGTAATGCTTCTTTTGTGCACTTTGTCATGCTATCACTGGCAGACAGATCTATCATCTATCATATTCAAGTTCTAGATTACAGGATAAGAATTGAGAAATTGTCATACTACGAGTCAATATATGTCTTTAAATGATAAACTACATAATGCCATATCAACGTTTACAACAGTCACATGGCATAAGAAGCATGCGATGTTGAGAATTGACGTTATCAACACGTTCATTGCATAATGTGTCATTATAAGAGGTTGATGAAATGGAAAAGCAGCTACCAAGACAATTTTACTAAAGAGAAACTTAGCTAAAAAGCAGTTGCTTTTGAGGATTGTATTGTAACACGTATAACCACAATGACCAGTTTATATACTCTGGTTTACAGTTTTAAGCGAATTAAATTGAGATAATAAAGCCATCCATTTGAGGATATTATATGTGTAGAAATTCCATCACATAAAATTTTGGTCTTAATTTCTTTAGTTTTGATAACATAATTTACGACATTGTGCAAGAATTGCTGATTTCCTGTCTTTTTTCCCTTATAAGGTCATAAAACACGACAGCTTTATCGCTTTATCAAAAAGATCTATGGAAGAAAAATTTCAAGAATTTGTAAAGGTCAATGATAATGAAGACAGTTGTAAGCAAACGATTCAGTTGGCATTGTTAAGCGCTCATATATTATCGTGTTTCTGTGATCTTGTGCCTATCCTCTAAATGATGAAAGCTACACCACTTGCAAAATGTTTGATGTTTGTTTTGTTTATGTTTTCGGCTAAATCCAAAGAAGACAACGTTGAACAAACTGTATGTATTCAATGCTAACGTTATTTAATAAACTATGCTACATATCACAATTTGTTCTCATACACCGTTACGTTTCAGGAAGAAGAAGTAATTTCATTGCCTAAATTCATCAAAAGTACCTAGAGTTCTAAAGTATCTTAATCCATATTTAGCATGTATAGGTCCATGTATGTTAGTTTGGTTGTTACCTTTGGTACAAAATATCTTTTTTGAAAAAACACCAAACACCTTATCTTCAAAACTAAAGTGTCTTCATTGTTACAATTCGTATAAGTGTGCACGTATTCCTCTTTAAAATAAAATACACTACATCATTTGTTTATATGTTGGCTTTGAGACATTGACTAGTCGTAGAAATTTTTTTATCTCGTAAAATTACTACAAATGCAATCATTTCTTGCAATACGCTGGATTGAAATTTAAAATAAATGGTAAAAATCTTAAGAAATGCACCACTGGGAGATGGGTGTTCTCATTTACAGCTTTCGATTCTTAATGAATTTTTTACAGTACTATGTTTTTTTACGATGCATTATGTTTCATTAATAAAACTATTTCAAGTTTGAAATCATTCACTTTACGTAGTGATGAATAAGAAAGTTGTAAGATTATAGAGTGCTATTCTGCTCTATTTATTTCAACGCCTTTAGAAATGTTACAAATTTGGGCAACCGTCTCAGCCCAAGCAATCACCGTCATAAAAGAACCCCGCCAATTTAACTAGAATACTTCCCCCTAAAATTAGGTGCAAGATTGTTCCTTTCAGCAATATACTTGCATAAGGAAGATAACAACATCGATAATTGTAACGAATGTTTGGATTCATGCATGCGAAATAAATACTATTTTTTAAATATATACCGAGCAGAATTGTATACATGAATCAGAAACGGATATACCAAAGTATAATCTATATAATTCAAGCCACAAAAGGTTTTTAGGTATATAATTTTCTTAATTGCATCAGTTGTTTAGAAACGCAAAACACAAGCGTAAAACACAAATGCGAATGTCCTATTCGTCTGGATGAGATTCTGCTTATAGAATCAGACTACCAAAATATATTACATTGGACACTACAATATTATTAACAAAAACTTGTTGAAACTGAAAATTGACTACTAGATATTAAATATTACAATACTAAAAAGTCCTCTGCAATATATATAATTCATAAATAGCAAAATATTTGAACAAAAACGCGCACAAAATTTCTCCAACATTTACAATTTTTTGTTTTGTACGGTGCCTAGATCTGTTATTGTCCGTTATGTAATTGTCCTGCGATTTCAATCAAATTTTTATGTTTAAATATCTCGTAAAAACACTATGGAGCTGCTGCAGACAAAAGGAACTATAAGGAAGTCAAACACAGAGAAAGGAATCAAATATGTAAATATTATAAATTGTAAGGCTGTTTAATCTCGATTCTTGTTTGTCTAGTGCGATGTTTTCCAGGTAAGACGTCACAATTTAAATGATTTTTAAAAAGAGGCAGGGAATATGAGAAGATTTATGTTGCGCACCCGTGTTATTATTTCATAGAACTTGAACTGTTGTTTCTGTCAAAGCCTTTTTATAGTTTGGTGACGAGCGTTTAAGCTTTTACTCTTTAGTATTGTCAGCTTTAATTCAACTAACAATTTTTAAATGCTTTCATCGTAAAAGCTTATATGTATTCACTGTTCAGCTCCTTCGACGGATTATGGATATGTACACTTAATAATGCTAGAGCAAATGTTTCATGTAATAAAAGCATCAGCTGTATCTCGTTTGGCAAATAACATAAGAAACGTGATTGGTAGTCACAGTGCCGTATTTAGTCTAGTACGTTTATTGTACGCATTCTTTATCTTAAACAGCTCTTTTAAGAACTATTACGTTACTGCGCATTTAATGAATACGACGAGTTTTTTAAAAAAGACATGTTTCAACATCTCATGACGAAATCTTTAGTGTAATAAAAAATGTTATTTAAGAAATAAAAATGTTTACTGTGTTTGCACCATTGAACTAAATAGATGGAAGGCTACCTCAGTCGATATTTTGAAGCCAGTAGAGCCCAGTCTTTCCACGCAATTGTAAACACACGGCCGATAGACAAAAGCGTAAAATAGCTTGAGGAAACTACGAAGCTTCAAAAACAAGACGCAAATTTTTTTGTTTTGATTTGGCAAACAAAAATTTCACAAATGAGACTTAACACCACGTATACACAATTTTTTGACAATTACATTTTTGTAAAGGAGGCCATAGCCAAGCATAACTAGAACGCATTTTGCTGTTATTGTTTGTTTTGGCATGTCTGCGAATGTGCCAAAAACCATAGCGTTTTTGTTTCAAAGTAGCATAAAAATGCACATATAATTCTAAACATACATCAGTTTGTGAATGTATTTTCACCCAAAACAATTGTTATCAATGTTTTTCTGTGGAAGTAGAATTTTACAGAAAAAAACAATTTTTAGTTCAAACTTACACGAGATTTGGTTTTAAAAGATAAATTAGATAATATATGATAATACTCGTCACATCCTCCCAAACTAAAGGCTTCTGTAAATATGTGAACGTACAAATATTTCATGGAGAAGCATGTATATTATTGAATACATCCAGTTGAATCTTTTCAAAATAAACAAGTACTTGCTGCAAAGTTTCCGATTTGTATAAATTGAACGATGAACGATGTCATTGTTTTTCACAGTTTCCACACTTTGATAATTTCCATTTCGAAATATGTATTCAATAGGAAGCATCATAATTGGCTGAATAGAGATTAAGCCCTATCACCTTCAATGCCACAATACTTTTCTGCTCAAAGTTGGCTTTAAAAAATTAATAGGCTTTTCTATTACAGGTAGCCTTCCATCTATAATAGTTCAATGGATTACACAGGCTTATGCAAGCCGTGGAGACCTTCGGGAGAACTCGAGAGCAGATCAATGCAAGCCCGAGACCAAAGGTCGAGGGTTGCTCCTGCTCGAGAGTTATCATTAACTTATCTTAAATCTTAGAACATTAACTTCTAAGTTTTATTTATTCGTCGAGACGAAAGTAACTTACTGCATGCAATTCTAGTGTCATGTACATCTATTATTTACTGAGTTCCAGCTTAAAATATATAAATCATGGCCATCTATTTTTTTGAAAATGGAAGCGTAATGCTTCTTAGTAGCTAAATTTTGCTGGCGCTAAGCTCTCAAATGCACACAGAGTTTTCCGTTTTCCATCAAAAATTCGTATCACATTGACACGATGATTTTAAAGATAGCACAGCTTACGACACGAAAAGCACACTCATAGATGACATAGTTAAAAAATGTAAGTTACAATATGCAGTATGCCTAGAGGTTTGTAAAATATGTTTTATTTGAAAATGAAAAATAACTGACGATCATAAAAACATGCAGTTCGTAATTCTGTGATTGAAGACATACGGATTATCTATCTTTTTTCAAAACAGGTTTTTAAGTTTTACTTCATTTCTTATGTAAACAGCGTCCTTCGCAATAATGTATGTTACTCAAGGTACTTATTTCAAATTTTGGACTATTCTAAACTCTCACTCAAATTTAACCTATCATTAGTCATAATCATGAACGTTAACCAGCGGACGTAGACAAGTGTCGATGAGAAGGTCAAAATAAAATTCATTTAAGTCTAAAAATATTAATCGACAGCGAGTAATAATTAAGTACCATTCATATTTAACTGCACATCTTTAACAACATTTAAGAGACTTAATCATGTTCATTCATTAATTTTTGTCAGAAAACACGACTACCTAGAGGTCTTCCCAAGAAATCAAATGTTTGCAAAACCAGTTGTCTTGCGCCTTGTGTACCTGGAGTTCCTGGTGTACATGGAGTTCCAGGTCATAATGGGGTGCCAGGAGCCAAAGGAGCAAGTGGAAGTGATGGAAAGCCGGGAAAGATAGGTCCATCAGGGCCAAAAGGGGACAAAGGAATCCAAGGTGGTATGGGAAGGACTGGTGTTAAGGGTGAAAAGGGGGAAGCTGGTGTACAAGGCCCTGTGGGAGTTAATAATGAATCCAACTGGAAACAATGCTCTTGGAAGACGGGCGATGATCGAGATAATGGACTTATAAAGGTAAATAATCACAACAAATTTTGTTGAATTAATTAGTTCATGATCAAAGATATTCTTGATTTTGCAGGTATCATTATACATAATTAATTATTAGTAATAATTTAGGCAGTGACAGTTCAATTTTATATTGTGCTATAATGGTGACATGTTTCGCTGTGTTTAAGAAGGAAAAAGGAAAAAAATATGTCTTCATAAATAAAAGATAAGGCTTTGTATTTTTATTTGAAATTTTTTTATATGTATGCCAAATACATTTAAAAAAATCGTTGTTGATTGTAATGTCACATTTTATTCAACTTAGTTCTGTTATTTTTTTTTGTTTTTACACACATTAATCAAAAATCAACGACATGTACAAGCTCATAAAGTTTGAAATCTTTTTATTAAATATTGAAATTTATGAACATAACTCCTACTCCGCTCTGGTAGAAGACTTTATTCCTAATTAACAATCTCTAAATTTTGCATTTTGGAAGTGAAAGATAAAAACCTTAAAATATTCTGGGAACTATATTATAGGCACTTTATTAAAACTGGCTTGGCAAAACTGAAAGTAAATGAAAATGATGTACAGAGATAACAAAATTTGTTACACTTCAAAAGTCAATTTTCTTTTATTAGATAATATGTTTTGTGTTTTTCTTGTACGCAGTGGTTTAGCAAAAATCATTACAGTTCTACATTTAAAACTCAATTCGATTACGTTTTTGATTGAATTTTGTCTTAATCAAACCAATAACCAATCTAGAGTAGCCACGTGAGTGTGAACACATTACGTGAAGCCAGAGGCCACGTAAGATTGATAATTGGGGGCCGAGGCAAATATTCATAAATGCATGTTCTACCTTAGTATCTTCTATTGAAATCAATTGTGGTTATGGATTAACAAGATTAAAACATATGAATATATAAATTTTGCCCCAATTACCAATCTTGTGCGTCCTTAAGAAGCAGCTTGTTGTTTTTTTTTCATATATATATATATATAGCAATTTTAACAACACTGTTCGTTTTTAATTTTCATAAAACATTTTAGAACACAAATTTAACGAGTATGAAGGCTTTTCATTTGCCTTGAATTTCAACATAATTGCTGCAATGTAATCTGACGTACCCTAGCTGCATTTGGAATGTGTCATTTTATCACTAAATCTCTTTTGATGTTCGTTCAGTTTTAGGCAAGATAGAAACAAAAATAAATTATATCCCTTTTCCATTTGTGTATGGCATACAAAAAAACCATTCATAATATGGGTATAATTAAGTTATGTGTTGTGACCAGGGATATACCAAGCGGGAAGCAAATTCTTGTTATAAATATTAAAGCCCAGCAAAGTGCTTTTAAGCACTTTGAAGACTCTTAAGACGAAACGTTACGCTACTAAATAAATATTTCTTTTTATACGTCATTTTTGTATTGAATGGCTCTTTTAGAAGCACTTTGCTGGGCTTGAACATTTATAACAAGAATAAGTTATGTGTTATTGAATTGTGTTTTTCATCAATCATTTCAAATTTCTAAGTGATGTTATATTACACATATTTCTTTTTTATAGCAAATATTTCTCCTTTTTAAAATAGCCAATTTCTACTATAAAATAGATGCAATATGTTGTCACTCATACCTGATGTATATTACTGTGTTATTTTGCTTTTCTAGATATGCAGTTTTAAGAAAAAACGTGACAATACTTATCTTCGTGTGTTCTACGCCGGCAGCCTCCGTATTTACAACTGCAACGCGTGTTGCAAGCGATGGTATTTTAAATTCAACGGAAAGAATGTAATCCTACAATTGAAGGTGTTTATTTCATATGGAAAGGTAGAGGTACACAGAATATCCATCGTCATCGTCATATAGAGGGATATTGTGGTAACATCGATAAGGGTACTGTTAATGTTGGTTTCTATGTTGGTAATTGTCAAAGATATTCCAATGCAGACGCCTACAGTGGATGGAATTCAGAGTCTCGAATTGTGATTCAAGAAGTTCCAGCACCACAGGCTTAATTCAAACCAAGCTGAATCTGAATTGTTGTTGAATATGCTATACTTATCATAATTGTTGCTAAGATTTTTATAAACATACAGCTCTTTTCAGTGTGGTCTTTTTGTTGTCTATGTCACTATTTTTATTCTTTATTCTCAAATAGATTTTGAATAAATAGTACAAATACAGAATTTGTATAACTTTTTTGGTTTTTTAGTTATCTTTCGGCAAAGATGCGAATTAAACCTGAATTTCAACATTTTGTAAAAAATGTCGAGAGCTCTAATCCGTGGCATGGGACTTACTTGTGACGTCATTTAAGGACACAGACTGACTACCAAAACAACTTACACTGTTTATGTGTTAGATCGATGTGTAGTTTTGGTTGTTCTAACGTAATTCGGAGAAAGGCATTTTTTAACGAAGAAAGAAGCGAAGCTAAGCGTAGGAGAAAGCGATGGGTCAACTTTGTGAAAGCTACTCGCGATAAGTGGGTCCTCACGAAGAATTCCTCAGTTTGCTCGGAACTCTTCACAAAAGGTTTGTTTCTCGGCAATTCGGCTCGCTTTCTGAATCAGAAAGTAATTTTGCACCTCGACTCGTTCGAGACGAATTCGGAATCGTTGCTTACCCGAGCATTTATCCTCGAAAAGATGACAATGAACTTACAACAAGAGATCGCAGAATGGTGAGTACGTTAAAATTATACATATGCATATCTACATTTTACCTGGAATCTGTGTGAGTATATTTCATAAATATATGTCATTTTAGATGAAAAGAAAATGGATGTCTGATTATAAAGAGAGGTTGAATCAGAAAATATTCCCAGTACAAGTAGCGAACCCTCAAGAGCAAATAAAAGAAACAACTTGTGATTGAGCCTGTATTAGAGAAGGTAAACTTATATGATCATTACGCCAATGCTGTAGGGTTAATGTAAATTATTGTTTTGTATATGCATTGCTGTTGTTTCTAATTTAAAAAGTAGCTGTGCAATGTGAATTACAATGCCAAAATTATTTAAAACTTGAAAAAGAGAAACGTCGTTACAGGAACTTATGGCTTGTTGCAAAGCATAAGCTTCAGTGTAGCAGAACTTATGCAAGCAGTTCAAATATGGATATGCTTGTAGTGGGTAAGTGTTTTTAAGATGATGCTGCTTTAATTTTATTTCATGTATGATTCTAGGTCAAGAGAAGATTTGCCAACGTAATAAGATCAGCCATGTTTAATAACCTCAATTTCTACAACACTACCAAGTAAGCTAGCATGCACCCTGGAAAATTATTGAAGTTAATTACTAAGAAATATGGACTTAATCAACCTTGTGTAGCTGTGCATTACTGAAGTATCTATTTCATAGATGAGTATGACAACAACAGCAGCAATGAAGAATCATCAAATAGTAGCAAAGTGGTTGATCTTGATAGTTGTCCTGCTGAGGAGGTTTTGGACCCAAATAATCTTAGTGGTGACTCAGACTCAGAGAGTGATCTTGGTGCTGAACAAAGTTATGAGACAGAGACAGAAGAGATAATCACATCTAGTGAGAAGGATGTGACTGAATCAGAGCAGCCAAGAACATTTAAAGGTAACAATTTTGGATGAGAACTGTAATTTATCAATCACCATGGCAATGTTAAAATAGTGTGATTGTTAAATAAATCAAAGTTAAACAGCTTATTTAATCAATCACTACCTTGATGACACAAAAAGTGTGTGCCAGTATGTAATTGTATTTATTGATAGCTACTATTGCATTTCATACAGCACATGGGATTGGGATGCATTTCATTGAGCATTACTTCTCTCACCAGCGTGTATGTAAGACTTATCTGATAGTGTAAAAGAAAGATGTAAAGAAATTACTACAATCAAATGAAAAGCTTGAAAGTCTTTTTAAAATTTTGTGTAGGAAAAACTATATCCTGCATTGGTAATCTTCTGGAAAAAATACCAAGACTGTTTGATAGAGAAAGTGATGGCATGTAAACAGCCTATTGCAATTGCTGGGGATGGAAGACACGATTCCATGGGACATTGTACTAAATATTGTGCATATACAACAGTCTGTAGCACAGTACATCAAATCATTAGTTTTTCACTTGTGCAGGTACATTTCTTTGAATTATGTGATTTTCTTCTTTAAAACTATTTACCTATTTGCTATTTTGTAGAAAATGAAGTTGGAAATAGCACTGGTATGGAGTTTGGGGATTTAAAAGATCAATGGATTTTCTTAAACCTTGCAATATTCCAATCTCCATGTTAATCACTGACAGGCACACACAAATTGCCAAACATATGAGAGAGTATTACCCACTACTTTGACCTTTGGCATTTGACAAAAAGTAATGATTTTTTTTTAGTTAATAAAACAGTACTTTATGAAGCAAAAATTTAACATATATCTAGTATACAATTTACTACCTAGACTGGCATCAATAATTGAAGTGTTTATCTAAAACATATTTTATATTTCATCTTAGAAGTGACCAAAGTCCTGACCAAACTTGCAGCATGTGCTGGATGTGAGTCTTTATCAAGCTGTATAAGACCTTATTCCAACCATTTGTACTGGAGTGCTATATCAACATCCTCTGGTAATGGAAATATGATTGTGGCTAAGTATCTTTCCTTGGTCATGTCAAAAACCAACACAATGGATTTTCAGACCCTTTATTTGACAAATGTGCTCAGGATTCCAACATAAAACCATGCAAATGGCTATATGAAGGTAAAAAATCTTAAACAACTCTTGTTGCTATTAAAAAGAAATATTCTGTGTGTAATAATCTCTTATTCATTGCCTTGTCTTTAGATTCTCTATCATACAATAAGATGTGTACAGCTTTAACTGGAGTTTCCCAGGTTAAAGTGCATTATCAAAATTTAAAATGGTGAAGCTGTTGTAAGAAATGTAAAAGTTGCTCAGGATTTTGGTAAGGTTATTTAATATATTTCTCCTACTGCCTGATATCATGTGTTGAATGCCATAATAGTCAAAGCCATAGTAAAAATGATTACCATAAAATAAAATTTTAAATTATTTGCACATTGCTCCTCCAGGGTATGTTGAAGATATATATTAAGTGTTGTGCTCTGCACTCATTAATGAGGAAACATTGAAAAAAGCCAAAGGTGATCTATTACGAATGACTCCATTGCCAATGAATTCCATGTTGGACAAGCAATCAAAAAGTGAAGCTATCTCAAAAAAAGCAAGAAGACAAAGCCCGCCAGCTGTACATGTTCCCCCAACTAAGCCAGGTTTTACAAGTCTTGGTTTGAGTTAATTTGAATCTTGTTTTTGGAACTGACTCACTTTATTGTTTCATATAGCTGAAGTATCACCTGCCCAAGAAAAAATCACTGATCAGAGAAATGAGAGGGCAGCACCTCGATGCACTGTGTGCAAGATTTGGATGAAAGGCCATAAAAATATAATTAACTGTCCAAAAAACCAAAAGTAACCACTTTTTTAAGAGCTGGTGGTATGAGCCCAGTTAGTTGGGATTCAGTGAAGTGTAAAATGACTGCATGGAAAGAATAAAAAGAAAAGGAATTGTAATTTTTATGTTTTGTATAACAAGAATAAGTGTGAATCAAAGATGCAATACATCAACAGTGGCTAAAATCATTCCAAAATTCACTGAATCCCTACTAGCTGGGCTCATGCACACAACACCTAAAATGATATATAATGTTATGTTATTTTACAAATTGTCCTCTTCATACCCTGCAAAGTGTTCATTTTATTTTAAATAAAAGTTGTTCGAATAACATGGTAAGCACAAGCTGGAATTCTTTTGTCTCAAAAAATGCAATGTACCATTCTTGTAAATTGTCTATGCAACAACTTGAAAAACCCGGAAAAGGCATAATACACAGGGTCCATTAAAACAGGTAGGAGTCCATAAAATACAAATTTTGCAAGTGTGCATTCATAGATAACCCAGACAGAAGCTTTTAACGGTTACTTCTAACAAACCTTTGCTCCAAGAATCATTTACGATATCTAACTGCATCCCGTCTTTGGTAAAGATTGGCAGCTAAATTTAATGCCCATGGATTGAGGCAAATGGCATCAAATCCTGGATGCTCTGTGATGCATTTTGGCTGCCTTCCTAACTCGCATAACACGACAGTTACCACAATTGCACCTCAGAAACTTATCTGTCAAAAGCTTCGGCTACAATAAATAAACAAATTTTCCAACTTTTCTTACCAAGAATCAAAGGAACTTCATTTTTCATTCTGCGTTCGAGCTCTTCTGTTTGGCGTCTTTCTTCTTCTGTCTCTCTAATATAGTTTTCTAACCACTCTTGATCTGCAAGTGGTTCGTTTTCATACGCTGCAATTTGGCATGACTCAAAATCCCCATCGGTGTTTCGGAGCGCATTTGACGACGATTGATCTTCGTCTTCTAAATCGAATTCCCGACTGTTCAATTCAATATTTTCTGCTGTTGTTGCCGTGCTCGACTCAGAATCGGATGTCGACATGTTTCGTAGAATTTTTATGTTAATTTTAAAGCAATATATAAAGAATTTTTATTTCACACTGTGTTGTTTTGTGTGCGGTGCATTCATACGTTCCGTAAATGACGTCACAAACCTCTCGTCTTAAGTCCCCTCGAGGCGCGGAAATTTCTCGAAAGCAAGCTAATTTAAACCGCAAAACCACTTCGTTTTATTTTTTACGAAATTTTCTTCGAAATCATATTTTCCATAGTCTAAACTTTACAATTCAACGAATTTGGAAAGGCTGCATGTGCACTTTAAATGCTCATCACACTTTAAGCAGTCATTCATATGTCTGGTTCTGTATTCATATGTCTGGTTCTGTATTCATATGTCTGGTTCATACGTCATCGTATTATGTGTACAGGAAAAGTGTGAGTGTCAACCGTGTATTGTCTTTGTTGTAAGTCTAGAGTGATACAAAGCATATGTATGCTATATATTTCCCTAAACCATTTATGAAACTCATAATAGTTAAAAAACATTTCTGCGAGAACTTCCATTTCTTCATTTGTTGAAAGAAGTTTCATAAATTTACTTAAAGAATGTACGTACTATCATAGTCATTCATATAAATCTTATGATTTTTAAAACAACTTGAGGCGATAAGCCAAATCTATGAACGGTTATTCTGGGGCATCATTCGTCAAATAGTTAAGATGTCTGAGTCTTTAAGATTTAAGATTTATAAGATTTAAGAGATTTAAGATTTAAGAGTACATGCTAATTTGTTAAGAGCATTAACAGTACTTAATTCTCATTCTGCTTAATGTATCCTCAGCATGTGCATGTGGCTGCAAAAGTTTGCTAAGGTTCAGATTGCTTTTTCAGAAGAATCGAAACTTCTACTTCCTTTATTTGGTTAAAATATTGCACTTAGCAAAAGGTCATCAATAGATGGATAAAAGATTGAAAACCGTTGTTGCTAGCAAAATTGAAATCAATTCGTTTCTTTCCTAGCATCAGTTGAGTGCGTTGATGGCAACGAATGTGTGAAGTTGGGCTTAATTCTCTGGCATTAAATATTAAGTGAGAAGGTATATAAGGAATTACTTCACTCAAAATAAGCGATTGAAGAAAAAGAGATTTCTGTTCACAATACAAACGATTTGTTGATCTATGGTTTGTTGTTGGTATGTGCGTCGTATTGTAGACCTTAAAGCTAAATCAAAATAAAAACGGCTCCAATTACGAGTTTATCAAGCCTATGTAGTGTGGAAGATGCTTTAATGAAATTTTTAAAAATATCTGGAATGTTTTACCTACAACATCTTTGTTCAGTCACTCAAAATATTCCACATTTTCCAAGTCATTAAAATGACTTTATTTCTCATAGAAATTTGATTAATTAAAATTCAGTGATGTTTGAAAAAGCTCTCGTTCCAGGCACTTACATACAAATAAATTCCATCCAGCCTATCGATTGGTTGAATTTTATTCTTTAGAAATTTATTAACCAATGATGTTCATATAGAAATATTAAAATTTTAAATTAGCGGCCAAAGTTTATTTTGCCTCAGCTGGGATCTGCTACTTGTTCATTATTTGGTTTAAGTTGAAGGCAAACAGTGCTACGTACAAGTTCTTCAAAATTCTTCTGTGGTCCACTTCTCCTTAGGGTTAAAACGACATTTAATTTCCACTAAATGATGAAAGTTGCTGCACCAGTTACGCTATGTTGGGTCATGGCTTTGTGCGTGTATTTGGCTGAATCTAATGAAGAAATTCAAGATGAAACTGTACGTATTCAATACTAACACTAGTAGGTTATGGTGTGTTTTTTAATTTGCAAATCATAAACAGAATAACAGTCAACTAAGTATATAACTTCAAAACTAAAGTGTCTTGATTGTTAAAATTCGTGTAAGTGTGCACGTATTCTTCTTTAAAATAAAATACTCTACATTTGTTTATGTGTTGGCTTTGAGACATTGACTAGTTGTAGAAATTTTTATTATCTCGTAAAATTACTACAAATGCAATCTTTTCTTGCAATACGCTGGATTGAAATTTAAAATAATTGGTAAAAATTGTAAGAGATGCACCACTGGGAGTTGGGTGTTCTCGTTTACAGCTTTCGATTCTCAATGTATTTTTTACAATACTGTATTTTTTTACGATGCACTATGTTTCATTCATAAAACTATTTCAAGTTTGAAATCATTCACTTTTCCTAGTCGTGAATGAGAAAGTTGTAAGATTACAGAGTGCTATTCTGCTCTAATTAATTCAACGCCTTTAGAAATGTTACAAATTTGGGCAACCGTCTCAGCACAAACAATCAACGTCATAAAAGGCCCCGCCAATTTAACTAGCGTACTTCCGCCTAAAATTAGGTGCATGATTATTCCTTTCAGCAATATACTTGCATAAAGAAGATAACAACATCGATAATTGTAACGAATGTTTGGATTCTTGCATGAAAATAAATCCAATTTTAAATATATACAGAGAAGAATTGTATACATGAATCAGAAACGGATATACCAAAGTATAATCTGTATAATTCAAACCACAAAGATTTTAGGTATATAATTGCTTTAATCGAATCAGTGCGATCGTCCTATTCATCTGGATGAGACTCTGCTCACAGAATCAGACTACCAAAATATATTACACTGGACTCTGCAATATTATTAACAAAACTTGTTGAAACTGAAAATTGACTAGTAGATATTATATATTTCAATAGTAAAACTCCTCTATAATATATATAATTCATAAATCGCAAAATATTTCAACAAAACTCGCACAAAATTTCTTCAACATTTACAAATTTTTGTTTTATACGGCGCCTAGATCTGTTATTGTCCGTTATGTAATAGTCCTCCGACTTCAATGAAATATTTATGTTTAAATGTCTCGTAAAAACACTATGGAGCTGCTGCAGACAAAAGGAACTATAAAGAAGTCAACCACCGAGAAGGGAATCAAATATGTAAATATTATAAATTGTAAGGCTGTTTAATCTCGATTTTTGTCTGTCCAGTGAGATGTTTTCCAGGTATAACGTCACATTTTAGAATATTTTTGAAAAGAGGCAGGGAATATGAGAAGATTTATGTTGCGCACTCGTGTTATTATTGCATAGAACATGAACTGTTTTTTCTGTCAAAGCCTTTTTATGGTTTGGTGACGAGCGTTTAAATTTTTACTCTTTAGTAACGTCAGCTTTAATTCAAGTAACAAACTTTAAATGCTTTCATCATAAAAGCTTATATGTATTCACTGTTCAGCACCTTCGACGTATTATGGATATGTACACTTAATAATGCTCGAGCAAATTGTTCATGTAATAAAACATCAGCTGCATCTCGTTTGGCAAATAATAAAAGAAACGTGATTGATAGTCACGGTGCCGTATTTAATCCAGTACGTTTATTGTACGCATTGTTTATCTTAAACAGCTCTTTTAAGAACTATTATGTTTTGCGCATTTAATGAATACGACGAGTTTTTTAAAATAGACATGTTTCAACATCTCATGATGAAATCTTCAGTATAATAAAGAATGGTGTTTAAGAAAAAAAATTTTTACTGTGTTTGCACGATTGAACTAAATAGATGGAAAGCTACCTCAGTCGATATTTTGAAGCCAGTAGAGCCAGGGGCGGATCTAGGATTTTGGATACCATAGGCAAAACATTATGACGTCATTCAGTGCTAAACCTATGACGTCATACTTTGCAAAACATACTACACTATTTATGCTTTCGATAAATTGTTTAAATCAAACATTCTAATCATTCAGCTATGCAGAATCTTGTAGATCTCAATCGTATAAATACATAAAAACATTGTATATTTATACTTACATATCACAAGGTCGTTGATTTTCACTATTCAGAATATTGAATGCACACAAGACTGTTTCGCCCCATATCAGGGCTCATCAGCATGCCTAGGAACACTTTAACGCAAAACAAAAAATCGTGATCCGGCATGGACAGCCCTGTGAGAGCCGAATTAAGCAGACTGGTTATGGCGCCAGAAGTTCGCCTACACCTTTGAAAAAGGAGTTTGGTTAGAAATGGGTGACTATATGGGATATTTCATGGATGTGATATTGCTCAATTTTTCACACCATCCCAGTCAATTCCAACCCTTTACCCCCCACCTAAAAATGAGCACTCTGAAGGCGCCAGAAACTCGCCTTTCACACCTTTAGCAAATAGCAAAAGGAGTTTGGTTAGAAATGGGTGACTATGTGGGACATTTCATGGATGTAAGATTGCTCAGTTTCTTACACCATCCCAGTCAATTCCAACCCTTTACCCCCCACCTAAAATGTGCACTCTCATTTGCCAACAAATGAGCAGAATGTAAATGTAATGTAATAGTCAAAATAGAGCTTTGTATAAAGAGTCTTTGTGAAGACTAAAATTTGGTGTAAGGAAAAATTATTCTATTTATGCTTAACAATTTTGTGAAAGTAAATTTATGTCGACAACGGCCGAGTACCATACACGTACTCAGCAGTTTTAAGATTGGAATGTATATAGGGAAAAAAACCTTTATCGGGCGAGCTATTAGTTTGATGCAAATTCTATTGACGTTACTATTGTGTACAACGCACAATAAATGGTTAACATATGGACATTTCAACAAAATAAAAAACTAGGATATGAATAAATTCATGCAAATTTTAGCCTTGTATTTCCAACAGCAAAAGTATTAATAACCTCACCAATATCTGGTACAATTTCCTGATGAATTTGCATCAAGGCCAAACCATTTAAGCGTTCCCCAACCATGGTACTTCGCTGATAGTTTTAAGTGTCCTAAGGAAGAAATAGATCGTTCACATTCACAAGAGGTAATGGGGAGCGTTCCTAAAATACGTAGTAAAATTTTAATGTTTTCAAATCCGGCGAAATGAACAGATTTTAAAGTCTGGGCAATGTTATCAGGAAGGAGGCCGCAGTGGGTCTCCCAATAAGTGTACCACAACCTAAGTTCAGCATCTAAGGCCAAAGGATTTGGCAAATCATCATAATAAAAGTTAGCCACAGTTTTGAATGGCTCTTTCCAATCCACCCCATCTCTTGTCATGGACATCATTTTCGTCGGTACAATGCTAAGGCCTTTATAGACATTCACTCTCAAGGTCGAATCGTGATTCTAAAGAAGATTGCAAATGATCTAGTAGAGGAAGAGTAATTGCACGTTTATAATACTCAGAAATGGTTGTGTGGGAATATTTTCCTGGTCGTTTGTTTGCGCACTGTTCTTGGTTTCCATTCTTCAATGCCAACTTTTGCTGCCAGTTCAAGCGCTTCGTCATACCAGGTGTCATGATAAAAATCAGAGGAATTCCTCATGTTCACCACCTCAGTTTTCAAAGTTGAAATTAAATGAATACCATCCATTATATCGATACTCTTACCCTGTAATAACTGTGTTACTGGAAGAGTTGAATCAAGAATATTTCTCGTGATAACTAAAGCAACGACGAAATCAAACCTGTCAATAAGTTGAAACAAAGATGAGGCATCAGACTGAAGCGACGGTTTGAACTCACCATCTAGATTTTCAGACATATCGTTAAGGGTGGTGTATACAGGTACAAAAGCTCTTGGAATGTATCTAAACCTTCGATACGTTCTACCCATCTAGTTTTGCAAACGTCTGTTAATCTAGTCTTTTTCGAGTTTGTTTCTGAATTACGTATATGTTTTCAAAGGGAATATTGCGAGTTTGGGAAATTTTAATAAAATTAGTGGCATTGTTAACATGTTTCAACATATCATTGACAACACGTATACTCAAAGAATCGCAAATGGATAAGTTTAACCTATGACTATAGCAGTGTGTATAAAGAGCCTTTGGGTTAAGCTTTAAAATTTGAGCTGCTAGACCATTAGTGCAACCAGCAACTGAACCAGCCCCATCATAACCTTGCCCCCTACAATCATCTATTGATAAAGTCAGTTCCTTTAGAGCCTCTAAAAGTAGCTTGGCAAGTTGAGCACCACTTAGTCCCCACTTACAAAAAGAAATGAAATGAATTCTTCCCTGATATTCATATCGGTATCAACAAAGCGCAAAACAAGAGACATTTGTTCTTTATGTGAAGAATCAGATGCTTCATCAGCAATAACAGAAAAAACTTACTTTTTGATATCAGAAATAATCTGATTACTGATTACCTGGCCACAACATTTAATGATTTTATTTTGACTTGTTTTAGAAATATAACTTCTATTCTTACCACAATTCTTTAAATGATTTTCTAAAACTTTATCCCCTCTCCTAACTCCATAATTGAGTGTTTCAATGAAATTACCAACCCCTCCAGATGAATAACAACCAACAGTAGGGTGATACTTGGAATCATCACGATGCCCACGAAGAGGTAAACCTAGACGTCCACAAAAAATGACAGAATCAATAATTGGAGATAGTATTTCCCTATTCTGTTCTATTTCTTTCTTGATACCAGCATCCATGATCATCTCGATAGGCTGCAGAGTACCTGATATTTGGGAACGCAAAGCATCAAAATTGGTGATGTGGATGCATGCAAACCGACTTCCCTCCTTTACTTTTTCCAGCATGTTGAGTGAAAGAGCATTTAGCATTCTTCCAATCTTGAAGAGGTTCAGTAAACAACTTTTTACTTTACTGGCCTTGCCTGGGAATCTATTGCCAAACAACACACGATAGACAATACGCACCATTTTGTGAAGGTGAATAGCAAAGCCATTCATGCTGGTCTAGCCAATCATGCCTAAATGATCTGCCATTAGATTTAGGAAAATGATACTTTTATCTGGTTTATATACATTTTTATCAAATGACATATTTCAGAATTATCCATACCCTTAACTTTCTCCCTATACAAGGAAACATCAAAATTATGGGTTAAAACAGCAGGTTGCATATCACCAGAAGTTGGAATACCAGGCAATAGTTCCTGGGATGATGTGTGAAGCAAAGACTATTGGCTTTATTTAATGTCTGAGCAAGAGCTGCAGCAGAAGAAAAACTCTCATTGGGCATCCTTTTAAAAGTTGGTTGGGCAGCAGGCCTATTAGTTGAAGTAAAAAAATTTGAAATGTCAACTGTTTTTGGTGCAATATTTGGAAAAATTTTGACAAATTTTCGTTTCTCTGTTGTTGAGCTGCTAGAATTAGACTGTGTACAGGAATTAGACAATTTTCGCTTCAACCTGTGGGCATGGAAAATGAGAGGCACAAAATGATTAGACTGAAAAGTCTCACCTGGTTGTACAGATCCTTCATGACAAAACAAAATATTAATAGCATCCAAACCTCTTTGGCTTAATAACCGGGGCTGAACAATACGATTAAATAACAATTTATATCTACTTTCACCAGAATCAGGATAAAAGTATGAATTTTTCTACCTAAAACAGAAGATAGGCCCAAAATACAAAGAAAAGATGACCATTTCTGGTCATTACAATTTAAAATAGCCTCCTGTTTTACCAGTTCATCTGTTGTATATCCAGTGTCTAAACATTCTTTAGACACTGACAAAGGCAAAAGATTGTTTAAGCTTTGGGCAAAGTAATCACTGTGCTCACTTATAACAGACAAAAGCATGGGTGTTGAGCATAAAAGCAGCATGAATAAATAGCTCAAGCGATGTTAAAATTCGCAAAGTAGGGACCAATGCATTGTTACCTACCAGAACTAGGAAGCTGAACTGTAGAGGCAATTGCCAGAAGCTTCAGATCTTAAAAATATTCAAGAAAAGAAATTAATATTTTGTTTGGTAGATTGATTGCATTGTATGAATGAATTGCTGACTGTAGACAAAGATATAGCCTAGCGAAATTGAGATTTAACCATTTTACACGTATATATAAATACTACAATACGATATATATAATTATAATATATTTACCTTATTGCAGTACAAGTCTTTCCGTCATGAGCGTGCTTTGGCACATATATTTCAGCTCAAAATTTCGACACAGAGTATGGTCGGGGTCATAAATTCTATCTAACAGCTGCTCGTTAGTAAACATAGGTCGAACGTCGACCAATAAACGAGAATAAAGCTCATTAAGGCATTTTAAATCGTTTTTGGCCAACGCAGACTGAGCAGTCTCGTATAAATTACCACAACACAATGAAGACATTATAAAATATCACAAAACCGTAAACTGAGCACAGAGGCTGTTCAGAAACAATACGAGTGTATGTTAATTTTCAATTGCCTAATTTGCCTAGCTCAACTATGCTTATCAACAGCAATGATTGGTTGGAATTGCTCAAGTTAGGCAAAAAAAATTGACCAATGAAAGCATACGGTTGCAAAAAATTGCCCAATCAGAATACCTATACACGATGTCAAGTAAGGCAAATTCATCTTGTTTAGGCAAATTGCTAACAACCAATCAAATGGCTAGATCGCCTTCTTGACTTAGGCAAAATGGCTGCTTTGCCTATTGACACGGAGCTTTATAGATAATCATACGCATCTGGACTACGATTCATATCACAATTACGTCATTTAATTGAACAACATTTCTAAACAAAAGTCAGATGACTTGACTGCGATAAAGTGCTATTCATAGTTTCATAATTCGATAAATTCGTATCCAATCTAAGTCGAAGTATATTTTGGTAATTTCACCATAGGCACTTGCCTATGGTGCCTACCCCTAGATCCGCCCCTGAGTAGAGCCCAGTCTTTCAACGCATTTGTAAACACACGGCCGATAGGCAGAAGCGTAAAATAACTTAAACAAACTAAAGTTTCAAAAACAAAACACAAATTCTTTTTTGTCTTAATTTGGTCAACAAACCTTTCACAAATGAGACTTAACACCAAGTATACACAACTTTTTGACAATTACATTTTTGTAAAGGAGGCCATAGCCAATTTGTATAAATTGAACGATCAACGATGTCTTTGTTTTTCACAATTTCCACACTTTGATATTTTCTATTTCGAAATATGTATTCAATAGGAAGCATCATAATTGACTGCAAGATTAAGCCCCATCACCTATAATGCCACAATACTTTTCTGCTCAAATTTGGCTTCAAAAATTTATTAGGCTTTTCTATTACAGGTAGCCTTCCATCTATTATAGTTCAATGGTTTGCACAGGCTTACGCAAACCGAGGAGACCTTCGGGAGAGATCGAGAGCAGATAAGTGCAAGCCCGAGACCGAAAGGTCGAGGGTTGCACCTGCTCGAGAGTTCTCATTAACTTATCTTAAATCTTAGAATATTAACTTCTAAATTTTTTTTATTCGTCGAAACGAAAGTAACTTACTGCATGCAATGCCAGTGTCATGTACATTTATTATTTACTGAACATCATCTTAAAATACATAAACCATGGCCAGGGGCGGATCTAGGATTTTTCAAACATCAGTCATAAAACGTCTTAGGTGCACGGTGCACGTCGGAGGCGTACGAAATGTATTTTGTGTGCATCGTTTTTTGCGTAAAAACAACACATTTTGCTTACGTTTTTTCAAAAAAAAATGAAGTGAACAATACTTGAATGTTTTGCCAAATATTTCGGCTCATCATCATGCCAAATATATGGCTCATTAGCTTGTCTAGGAACGTAAAATTTATTTTACATTAATGCTATTCAAAACAGATATAGTCTTTAAAATTTCTACCAAGTTGTCAGGCATAGACCCCCCTAGAGACCCCCATTCAAACCTCTATGTAATGAGTTAAGTTAGAAATTTGGTACTACAAGTGACAGTTCATAGATATAGAAAAGCCAGACTTCAAACTATGCAAGTTTATTGTAGCCCTTACCCATCTCCACATCAGTACCAGCAAATTCACTTTTGAGAAAAACTCAAAATTTTTTCTGCCAAAGATTAAGCTAAAATTTTCAGAGTGAAAATTAGCAGTTAAGGACAGCTTAATGCCATCAATGTTTATTAGGCATTTCACTTGACTATTATCTCCTATAAGTATATGCAAGGTGTGCTATATAGCAATCACTTGTAGCATTGTATTTGCAAATACAAACAGAATATAACCAACATGTCTTTAATTATATAGTTACATGAATGTTAAAATTGGTTCATGTGTCATGCTTACTGGTTATGATAAATATCTTTTCATATGATCAAAGCTTGTTTAAATGTAAATCTAAAATAATTTAATTTAGAAATTATAATGATCATCAGAAAAATAACCTAGTGATCATGAAAAATACTTTGCTGTTTTGCCAAATTTCAAGGTTTATCTGCATACATAGAAAGACATTTTTACTTTATAGAAAATGCTATTCATACATCAATAGCCCTTTGGAATTTATGGCAAACAATCTGGTATGAGCCGTAGATTAACACACCTTTACATGTCTACATGAGGTGTTCAGTTAGAAAAGGGGACAATATGTGACATGGGACAACATTTCATGTATGTGAAGTACTAAGGTTTAATACCATTCCAGTCAAATTGTCAAAATAAAAAGCTTCATGGATCATAAGACTCAAAATCACAGGTTATAGTAAACAGCTTCTCATGTAATCAATGTTAGTTTTCTCAAATCTTAAACAATATGTAGTATAACTGTCTAATGATTGAATGATCAATGATCACAAACTGAAAAGCCCCAAACATTTGTTTATGATAAAGTAAATAATAGTATGGGGCCTTATGGCTACAGATTTTTGTCCATTGAAATATATTTGCAGGAATGTATGATTTCGCTGCCATATAACGGTCACGATTCCCCAAGCACTAAAGAAATCATAGCTAAAAGTCCTTCGGCAACAACAATTTTAGAAGCATCAATCTGCTTACCATACGGCATATTAACATAAATCGCATCACACACTCGCATAAATTGACTTTGATATATTACATTCATGCATACACTTCAGTTGTCCTTTACTTACGATTTTGGATGTAAATTTCTGCTGATAAAACTCAAAACAATGTTGGATTTCTTTTGAACATCAATGAGTGAAATGTCGCTCGCGAGATAGTCTTTGCCAAGCATTTACAATTCATCCATAAATTTTTCGCCCTCTTGAAAAAATTCACAGTTTGGAAAGCAGCATTCATGTCAATATATGAACTTGTAAAAGATTTCCATAAATTCCATCTGATTGTAGTTTAGTTTCTATCATGCTTATTAAAATCACTATGAAACTATCAAACATTCAATTCAGACAGTGAGCTTGACTATGTTAGTTCAGTTGGCTATCAGTCGAAATCCGTCAAACCAATCACAATGAAACAAAAATTCAAATGAACCAATTGTAAGATAGCAATTGGACTCCTTTATACGTCCGGCCACCCCTATTATCAGTCGAGATTATTCCAGACTGTCCACTGATCTGGCCATTGACCAATAAAATATGCGTTTTGGCGTTCATAGACTCCTTTATCCGTCGAACCAGTCAAGCCACCCCGCTTATCAGTCGGTTATTCCAGGTCACCAACTGATCTGGTAACCAACAAGATATTCATTGGATTAGTCATTAGTTTTCAATAATAAATAAAGCTGGATTTTTTTTACGAAGTAAATGCGATAATAACGTAAGAATAATTAATGAATTTTTTATTAATATGAATAGGTAATTTTTGAATTTCAAACATCAGTCGCGCGACGGATTTGACATACTCTAGATCCGCCCCTGATCATGGCCATCTATTTTTTTGAAAATAGAAGCGTAATGCTTCTTAGTAGCTAAATTTTGTTGGCGCCAAGCTCTCAAACGCACACAGAGTTTTCCGTCAAAAATTCGTATTACATTCACACGATTATTTCAAACATTACACAGCTTACGACAACCCAAGCAT